TCCTGATGCCACGTTCTTCTTCATATAGTCCAACTTCCTGGATTATTTGCTCAGCATGCAGATTAAATAAATATGGTGAAAGGATACAACCCTGATGCACTCCCTTCTTGATTTTAAACCATGCAGTTTCCCCTTGTTCTGGAATTCCCATTCTTCTCAATGTTATTCACATTTTGTTATGATCCACACAATCAAATGCTTTTGCATAGTCAATAAAACACAAGTAAACATCTTTCTGGTATTCTTTGCTTTCAGCCAGGACACTGCTGCAACTGTTTTTGAAATATCTTCAGTAAGATTTTACTTGCATGTGATATTAATATTGTTTGATAATTTCCATATTCTGTGGAAATTTCTTTGGAATGGGTACAAATATGGATCTCTTCCAGTCAGTTGTCCAGGTAGCTGTCTTCCAAATCTCCAGCGCTGCATCTGTTTGTTGAAACATCTTAATGGGTATTCCATCAATTTGTGGAGCCTTGTTTTTCACCACTTCCTTCAGTGCAGCTTCAACTTCTTCCTTCAATACCATTGGTTCTTGATCATATGCCACCTTCTGAAATAGATGAACGTCGACCAATTCCTTTTGGTACAAGGACTTTCTGTATTCCTTCCATCTTCTTTTGATGTTTCCTGCATCATGCAATATATGGCCCATAGAATCTTTCAGTATTGCAACTCAAGGCTTATATTTTTTCTTCAGTTCTTTCAGCTTGAGAAGTGACGAGCTTAAGCCCTTGGAAGATGGTGGAATAGGTAGAAAGATTGCACAGACCCTCTTCAACAAAGAAAAGGGGAACCAATTAACACAGATACAGAAGATAATGCTGGAGCCCTGAGCTTTGAAGGGAAGGATACAGAAGTGGACTAAACTCCAACTAGCAGAAGAATTTGCATGAAAACACCAAAAAAGGAGACATATGGAGCTGCAGTCTGGCAGTGATCCTGATGGCACAGACAGCTTGGATACTGCTGAGTGGTGTTAGGACCTAAGAATTAACCTAAAAATCAGCCCTGCTAGCCAGGTACTGCATGGAGGACTGTACTGGTGGCTGGTGAATAAAAGGGGAAGCAGCGAAGAGGAAGACAGGCTGAGCTATGGACTTTTGCCTGTCCAGAGGGTGCAGCCATTTTGAATACTTACAAACGGTTCCACCATTTTGGATATTTAAAGCGACAGCATTCTCCCAGATTCCAGGGACTTAAGAATAGGCTCCACTTGCTGGGAACTGCAAGGACATTCTGGATGCCACCCTCTTGGTGAATGGAGGTGTGGCTATCCCAGATTCCCACCCACCTCTGGACCAGTGGGAATTCCATCCCAGCCTGGGTGCCCTGCCCCACTCTACCCAGATTTTTTTTTTAGTTTGTTTTTGTCTGTTTTTAAATTATTATTATTATTATTGTCCTTTTTATTATTATTATTTATTCTTCCCTTGCCAGGTTCTAGTTTTCAGCTTTTTATCTCTTCCTTGTTCCTGGTTCCAGTTTTTTTCTTTCTTGGGGTTAACCCCGTTCCTTGTTTTTCTTTTTGTATTTTTCCCATCTTTTTCTTCATTATTCTCCCTCTCTACCTTTTTTCTCTTATTGCCTTCTCCCAAGATATTGTGGGTTTTTTTCCTTTTTTGGTTATTGTTCCTGTGTGATTACACAGTGTGTTTTTTGTCCACTTGCTTTTACTATTTTGATGGTTATTCAATTGTTCTTTTTGTCTAACTGAGTGGAAGACAGCAACAGTGCCCATATGACACAACTACACCCACACCTCCTGCAG